GTCTGGAATACTCTACCCGACTCTGTAGTTTCTTCCCCAAACCCCAAAAACTTTAACCTTAGACTGTCTACTATTGACCTCACCCCTTTCCTAAGAGGTCTGTAGGGGGCATTCATAAGCGCACCAATGTGCCTACCGTCCCTGTCCTATTGTTTCTCTTATTCTTCTTTTATTTTTCTTATATGTACCCATTTCATGTATTCACAACTATGTATACACTTATACTTATTATCTTGTAAACAATTGGCAAATCAAATAAATAAATAAATAAAATAAATAAATAAATAAATTCCCCTTAATCCCAGGAGAACAATTCCACAGCCAGCAAATTGCCAACTTTAAGATGGGCAGACTTCATCTCCCAGAATTCCCTCGCCAGCAAATTGCCTTCCTTGCTGGGGAATTCCCCCCTAACACTGACAAATCTATTGCAGCAATATAGGTAGTCCTTGACTTGCAACAGTTCACTTAGTGACCGTTTGAATTTACAACGGCACTGAAAAAAGTGACTTATGTCCATATGAGGCTTCCTTATAGGAGAGGGCATTTCATCTATTCTCCACTCAAGAATGCCATAAATCACTTTGATTTATTTTGGACATATATGAATCTTTCATAGAAGTTATGGATCTCAGGTGGAGAATGACAGCATTATGTGTTTGATTTTTTATAATTCACTCTGAGTTACTGCACCGACTGACTGTATTTCTTTCTCTCAGAATTGACATTTGTGGATGTAAGAATAACATTTTTCCTAGTATGATTTTATATACAGCTAGTCCTCAACTTAAACATTCCTTTAGTGACCATTTGAAGTTACAACAGCCCTGAAAACCTAGGACCATTTTTCACACTTACAACCGTTGCAGCATCCACAGGGCCACATGATCAAAATTTGGAGGCTTGGCAACTGCCTCATATTTATGACAGTTGCAGTGTTTTGCAACCTGACCAGCAAAGTCAATGGGGAAGCCAGATTCACTCAACAATTGAGTTACTAACTTGACAGCTGCAACAATTCACTTAACAACCGTGGGCAAAAAAAGGTGGTAAAATGGGGCAAAGCTCACAGAACAACTGTCTCACTTGACAACAGAAATTTTGGGCTCGATTGTGGTTGTAAGTCAAGGACTACCTGTAATAACCTCCCCTCTTGCAAAGCAGGTCCAAAGTTTATAAGCTTGTATATCTATTCCCAACCCAACTGAGCTCCTGGGGATAATATGTGTTTTTGTTCTTTTTTTTTTCAATTCACACTTTTTTCAATGTTTTTGTTTAGTTCTGTTTTGTCTCTGCTTAATTTTTTTATTTTGGGTTTTGAATTTTAATCTTTTGGAATGCAATAACATTTCAGGATCGAATCTGGGCCGTATATACAGGTCGGTTGCCAAGCATTTGGAATTTTGATTGGGTGACCACGGAGATCCTGCAACGGTCTTAAGTCATTTTTTTCAGGGCCATTGTAACTTTGAATGGTCACTAAATGAACTGCTTTTAAGTCCGGGGCTACCCATGTTATATGGATTACAATACGAGCAATACAATTCTAACCATTGCAGAAATTGAATAATAAAATTGTTTTAAAAAATATATGAAACAAATGCTTCTGGGAAGCAAACCCCACACTAATTCTAGTAACCATCTTTTTGATATCACCTTAAATTCCAGCCCATGTTTTGCCTCTGATTGTTTCTCTACTTGTCACTCATCCTGGAGACCATCTCAGGTAATAATTTTATTCACCACCAGGAGGCAGTGCAGGACTGGTTTCATTCTGTTTGAAACTTTGTCAAATACAGTATATGGAGCCACAATACTGTAGCTACATACACCTGATGAGGTCCAAACCAAATAAAAGTAGTTGTGTATTGCCTCCTCAAAGTCAATATAGATTTTTTTTAAAACCCACCCAGGGTGTACACTGTCTAAAAAAAATCAAGAAACACCCTCCCCCCCCAAGAGAAAGCAACCTTGTTAAATGAAACTTATTGTATAACATCTCTCTCTCTTTCCCTCCCTCCCTATCTATCTTTCTGTCTGTCTATATCTATCTATCATCTATCTATCTATCTATCTATCTATCTATCTATCTATCTATCTATCTCTATCAATCTATCTCTGTCTATCATTTATCTAACTATATCTGTTAACCATCATCTATCATCTATCTTCATTATATCTATCTCTATCTCTCTGTCTATATATCTACGGTATCAATCTATATCTGTCTGTGTCTATCTATATCAATCTATATGTTTATAACTATTATCTATCAAACATTTAACTATATTTCTTATTCATCATGATCTCTCTTCATTATATCTATATCTCTCTGTCTATATATCTATCGATCTATCTGTCTGTGTCTATGTTGTGGTTAGCCGGCAGCAGGTGCAGATGGCTGAGGAGAGCGATGACTCTGATGAGGGGCCAGGACCATCAGGGAGTGGACTGCTGCCTTCAGGGATTGGGGTGGCTGGCAGCAGTGACGAGGAGGTTCCCGAGGAGCCTGTGCCAAGTGCGCATGAGCGCAGTATGATTCGTAGAAGAGAACAGCTGGATGCAGCACAGGTGACTCAGGAGTAAGGATGCAACATAATGCCCCCTCCCTCCAGGGAATATAAGCCTGGTTTCAGAAGGTTTCTGCTTTTGGAGAAAGCAAAAACGTTCTACGGACTCAGCATGGTGTGTGGAGACTCCAGCTTATCTGAAGAATTCTGTCAAGGCTTTTCTGGTTGGACTAATTGGCTGCAAGACATCTTTTTTCTACAAATAAGTTATTTGTAGATAAAAGCTGTGAAGGTTTGAGTTGCTGCATTTGTTTGAGATTTTCTTGCTGGTAACAGGGTTGGGTCAGAACAGTCTATCTCTATCAATCTCTGTCTATAACTATTATCTATCTCTATCTATCTATCTATCTATCTATCTATCTATCTATCTATCTATCT